CAGCTGACAGGATTTCAAACTGTCCATATAGACGACATTTAAGCCTTTATAGATCACTTGGAGCCCAAGAAGTCTTCATCTACTTCCTGGAGACCATATTGTCTCTACGGGCCATCAATGGCCCAATAGCCTGTCTTAGATTGTTTTCGACGAGTTTTTCTAAATTTAAGCTGTCCGAACTCTAAACTGTCCATTTAAACAAAATTTAGGACTTTATACATCATTAGGAGCCCAAGAAATCCTTGTATAATTGCTAGAGCCCAAATTGTATCTATCTAGGCTATTTACAGCCTAAAAGTGTGTCTTATATTCTTTTCGACGAGTTTTTCTAAATATCAGCTAACAGGATTTCAAACTGTGCTTATAGATGAAATTTAAGCCATTATAGATCACTTGGAGCCCAAGAAATCCTTGTATACTTGCTGGAGGCCAGATTGTCTCTATAGGCCACCTACGGCCCGACAGAATGTCTTAGATTCTTTTCGACGAGTTTTTTTAAATCTATGCTGACAGTACTTAAAATTTTCCATATAGACGAAATTTTAGCTTTTACAGATGATTTGGAGCCCAAGAAGTGTTTATATACATACCAATAGCCTGTCTTAGATTCTTTTCGACGAGTTTTTCTAAATCTCAACTGGCAGGACTTCAAATTGTCCTTATAGACGAAATTTAAGCCATTATAGAACATTGAAGCCCAAAAGTTTCTTGTATAATTGCTGGAGGCCAGATTGGCTCTATAGGCCACCTGCGGCCCAACAGAATGTTTATATTTTTTTCGACGAGTATTTCCTAATCTATGCTAACAGGACTTAAAACTGTCCATATAGACGAAATTTTAGCATTTATAGATCACTTGGAGCCCAAGAAGTCCTCATATACTTCCTGGAGAAAATATTGCCTCTGAGGGCCATCTACGGTCCAACAGCCTGTCATAAATTATTTTTCTAAATCTAAGCTAAGTCCTGTCAGTAGATCACTTGGATCCCAAGAAGTCCTTGTATACTTGCTGGAGGTCAGATTGTCTCTATAGGCCACCTACGGCCCAACAGAATATCGTAACATTTTTCGACGAGTTTTTTTTTTCTAAATCTATGCTGACAGGACTTCAAACTGTCCTTATAGACGACATTTAAGCCTTTACAGATCACTTGGAGCCCAAGAAGTCTTCATATACTTCCTGGAGACCATATTGTCCCTACGGGCCATTAATGTCCCAATAGCCTGTCTTAAATAATTTTCGAAGAGTTTTTCTAGATCTAAGCTAAGTCCTGTCAACTTTTTCATATAGACGAAATATTTCCCTTTATAGATCAGCACAGTCCTTGAGTACCCTTTTAAGGCCATATTGTCTCTATATGCCATTTAGAGGGACAACAGGATGTCTTCGATTCCTTTTGATGAGTTTTTCCAAATCTGAAGATGACGGGACTTCCAACTGTGCTTATAGGCGAAATGTAAGCCTTTCTAAATCATTGGGAGCCCAAGAAGTCCTTGTATAATTGCTGGAGCCCAATTTGTCGCTATAGACCATTTACAGGCCAACAGGATGTCTTAGATTGTTTTCGACGATGTTTTCCTAATCTAAGCTGACGGCACTTCAAATTGTCCTTATAGACGAAATTTAAGATTTTATAAAAATTTAGAGCCAAAGAAGTCCTTATATAAATACTTGCTAGAGACCAGATTGTCCTACGATTATTTTTGACGTGTTTTTTTTTTCTAAACCTACGCTGATGGCAAGGTAGGACTCCAAATTGTCCTTATATGCGAAATTTAAGCCGCATATCCTTGGGAAATATGTTGGAGGCTAGGGATGTCTTCATTTACCTGATGGATCACAAATTGCTATTATAGATTACCTTCAGCCTAACTGGAATTCTAATATTCGGTTTTGAAGAGCTGTTGGAGATAGGCTTTATAGGTAAACTGGTTGGGTTAGGAGGTAAGGAATTCTTAGATTCCATATTAAATGGGATATCCTTCGGAAAAGTATTAAAGCGCAAGGATGTCTCCATTTAACTGATGAATATCAAGTGGATTTCTAATATTCCGTTTGGAGGCGCTGGAGGCCAAACCACTCTCCAAGGGTAAGCTGATGCCAGACCTTCCAGAGGCATTCCTCTATGAACTGGTGGCCAGTTGGGGACGTCTTTATTAACGCAGTCCACAAGCAGATGTTGAATTCAATTTCCTTGTAAGAGAGGCTCTTTAAGGGATAACTTGTACCGGAGGTTGGGATACTAAATATCAGGAGATCCCATTTTATGAAGAGGAAATTGGATATACCTTTTTCGACTAATGGGAGCCCAGGAAGTCGATTTATAAGCGCTGAAGGTCGGGTGGTCTTTATACTCGATATGCAGTCCACTTAAAGTCCTAGATTCTATTTTCAGAAGCTGAAGGTCAAAGGACTCATCAAAGGGCAGCTGATGTAGGAGGTAGACTTTATAGCATATCTGATATCCGAGAGCCAATTTTAATGACATGGAGGTCGAATAACTCCAATTACGAAGTGGGAGTCCTTATATTCTTCTTGAGGTCCATATAGTCTTTGTATACCATCTGTGGACCAAACGGGTATCTCAGCTTCTCTTTTTGAGAAGATAAGGTCCAGATGATCTTTAAAAAGCAGCGGGTGCCAGTGGCAGGCTCTGTGGCTTTCCAAATTAAGATCTAGGATTCTACTTTCAGAGCTGGTGGCCAAAGGGGCCATTAAAGGGCTGTTAATTGCGGGCTTATAACATATATGAATGCCAGAGAATCAAATTTAGTGGCCGAGGTCTAATAAGATGTCTCCATTTAACTGATGAATATCAAGTGGAGGCTAAACCACTCTACAAACGAGAGCTGATGTCGGACACATCTAGAGACTTTCTTCGATGAACTGGAGGTGCAGGAGCTTAATCTTAGACTGCAGATTATTTTAAGACGCTTTAAGGGACAGAGTATGGAAGACTGAATGTCGGGGAGTACCATTGTACGAAGTGGAAATCGGATCGGACTTTAGTGACAAATGGGAGCCAAGGAGTTCTATTTCTATTCGCCGAATGTCAGGTGGTCCCTATACTCGATATGCGGTCCAAACTGAGATCTAATATTTTACTTTCAGGATTTAGAGGCTAATGGGTCCATTAAAGGGTTGTAATGCAGGTTTGCTTCAATTTTGAGGAGATAAGGTCCAGAGGCCTTTTAGAGGATAGCTGGGGCTGCGGATGGGCTTTGTGGGATAGGGATCTTAAATTCGTTTTTTCAGAAGGTGGAGGCAAAAGGCCTCTATTTTCTTTGTAGCTGGTGCTACAGGCGACTTTTGCAGTAGAACAGTCCTTTTAAACGACATGGAGCTTGGATAACCCTTATAAGCTTCCGGGAAACCCGTTTGTATTTACAGGCGATCTGCAGACCAAAAGGGCCCATATTCTGAGGATCTTATGATTCTGTACATCCTTAGAGATAAACTGTTGGTAATTTATGCTATTTAAAAGAATCTGACATCAGAGAGCCCATTTAGACGGCATGGAGGTCCGATAAATCTTATTGACAGGTGGCAATCAAGGGAGTCGTTATTTACTAAATTGAGGCCAGATAACCTTTAAACGTGAATCGAAGGCTAGAAATTCCTCATTTACCTGTTGAAGACCACGTAGGCCTTATCGAGGATTTATAGACCAAATAGAGGGCAAATATTTAATTAAAATTAGCTATTGCCGAAGGATTCTCTAAGTGCAGCTAAAGGCTACAAAGAGGAACTAGAGATTAGATATATAAGAAGTGGAGCAAGGATATACTCTAAAGATGTGTCGGGGCTCAGGACGTCTTTGAGGCCATGCAGGCTTTACGGACAATCAAATGTCGAACAAAAGCTGTGGGATATTAGTTTGAGGAGTTGGAGGCTAAAATCGCTCTCTAAGATTAAGCTATTTATTAAGCTGGCTTTATAGAAGAATGGGATATCAGGCAGACTTTAGGAGACAATTTTTTAGAAAAAATATGGTCGAAAGATTCTCTGAGATCGGCTTTGTAACTATTGTGGAAATCATGAATACTTTGAATTGGATGGAGATTAAATTCCAAGGCTGGCTTTATAAAAGAATAGGAGACCAAATCAAAATCGGATAAGCCCTAAAATGAGTTACTCTCAAATTCGAGTTACTCTCAAATTCAAGTTCCTCTCAAATTCGAGTTACTCTCTCGTTTTGTGGTAATGGAAGTGATTCAAGCCTTTATGTACCAAAAAGTGTTTGTAGGCAGTCCATATTGCCTTTATAGACGTTGTAATATCCACAGATTAGATAAAAACTGGACGGAGAACTGAAAGGTCAAAGATGACTAGGAGTCACAAAGTTTTTATGGACATCCAAAATATTTATATAAATTTGATTTGAAGTTCTAGACAAGGATTACATGATTATGGAATTTTAATAAGGGTTATTAGAAGGATCACATCTAAATGCGAATTCTTTGGAAATATTTTTCCATAGAAAAGTTAAGTCCTGAGAATTTTCACTTTTTAGAAAAATGCAGTTCGGGAAGACATTGGACATTTTTCCATAGATAAAATAATGTCTCGTGTAGAAAAGCACACTACCCTGGATCGACATTGGCATTTTATCTAAAGCAGAATCACACTTGCCGGAGACTGTCAAAATTTCCAAAAAAAAAAATAAAAAAAATTTCATAATTCTCCACCTATTTTTAATTTGCCTCAATCCTTTTGAGAATAATTATATATTATATTATTACTAATTAAATATAATATTAATACAAAATAAATAAAACTTGTTAAAAATATGTAAATTTTTTAAATGTTGAATAGACACACATATATTTCCGTACATATGTAAATGTATGCATGTATGTGTTTATAACACACACTCTACCTCTGCTTTTTCCTTAGTTCTGTTTTTTTTTTTTGCATTATTTTATAATTATATAATAATAATCCTAGAGAAAATTAGAGAATGTGCGGCATGGGAAAACTACAACAATTTTCGGCTTACCATTTTCCTCCTCAATGTTACGTGTCATGACGGTGGGTGTCACCCGGGCACGTGTCGAATTTGTTTGTGATGTACAGCATATCAGCACGATTAACAGCCAGCAGAATATGCTGGAGATGGTTGAGGATATGGACGTTGTTGGTGTTGTTGTTGCTGCTGCTGTTGTTGTTGTTGAATGGGAGGATGTTGTCCTGGTCGCCGCTAATGCTGACCATGAAGAAAACAAACGTAAGGATGTTGTTGACGATGTTAGGGGGTTTAGATTTAATATATCCATAGTTGAGGCTTTGCTTTGTTGAGGCTTTGATGTTGAGTTGTTTGCCTGGCAGCAAAGTTGTTAGACAACAACAGAAGTCGTTGTTTCTGGGAAAAAGAAGACTCCCTTTAAGAACAGAGAGAGTTGAAGAGGGTTTATTTTGTTGAGTTTAAAGGAGGTTTTTTTCTTTTTTTGACAAGACCACATCAATGACCTAACACAATGTGGGTGATTTGTTCTCTCTCTCTACTATACACCCACTCACTCTTGTTCTCTACTTTTTTTTTTAACTGCTCTCCACTCAGAGTGATCGCCCTAGGCAATATTGCAGTTACTCTTTGCTGGTTTTTTAGTTGTTGCTGTGTGTCTTGTTTTTGCTCCGTTATACACTGAGCACACAGAGCCCATCCCCTGAGGGCATAACACAACAAGGCAATAATGATTCTCGCTCCCTCTCTCTCTCTCTCTTTGTTGTGGTGGGGCTAAATGGGTGTGTGTCCGTGTGTGGCCTTTTGCTTCACCGTTTGCTGAGAGTTATAATGAGAGTTATGATGAGGTTATATGCAGTTGTAGAAATGTCGTTGTTGTTCCTGTGTTTTTTTTCTTTCGTGTTGGTAGTTTTGCTGTTCAGCATACCTTAACGGACTCACTCACACATATACACATGCTTATATGTTAAATATACATAAACTAGCTATGGGTGTATGTTTGTGTTTTTTTTTTTTAGTTTCGGTAATTATGTTTTAGTAGAGGAAGTTTTTTTGCACTCTCTCTCTCGCTCTCTTTCTCTCTTTGAGAAAAAAAAAGTTCTATGCAGTTCTAATGTGAACCCAGTTTGGTGTATGTCCTTGTTATTGTTGTTATGATTATTAACTAAATTATACAAGAGCATGGGTTGTTTGTTGTTGTTGTTATTGTTATTGGTGTTGTTGTCGTTGCTGTTTTTTTTGTGTGTGCGTGTTTTTTTTTTCTGTTTTCCGTTTAATTTACATTGCCAAGGGGGTTTTGATTGTTGGGTTTAAACAGCGTTGCTGTCGTTCCTTTTTTTCAGTTGTTGTTTTTTTTTTGTGTTCTGTTACAAACATTATTTGCATTTGTATTGCAGTCAATGTTGCTGTTGCTGCTCTTGTTTTGTTTTTCTATTTTCACTATTCACATATACAAATACACACATATACTGCACGTCACAACACACAAATATATGCACATATATTTATTTAACAATTGTTTGGCATTGTTGCATTGTTAGCTTTGTTTTAACCTCATTTGGTTTTCTATGGCTTTATTGAAATGAATTGCTGGCGATGTTGTTGTTGTTGCTGTTGTATTTGTTATTTTAGCTTTTATTGTTGTTAATGTTCTGTGTGTTGTTGCTGTTGCTGTTGCCGTTGAAAGGATAGAGTTGTAGCGGAAAGCAGAAAACAAAGTATGATTTATAAAACACCCCACACACCATGGCATGTTATGGTTGCTTGGTTTTGGTTTTTTTTTTCTTTTTCTTCTTTTTTTCTATTTTGTTTTCTTTATTTCATAGCCCAAAAGCAAAGCAATTGTTGAGTAAACCAACTTATATTCTTTGTTATTTTTTTCTTGTTGATGTTATGTTTATAAGCAGGTGATTTCATTGTTCTTTTGCCAAGAGCAGTTCAAGCTGTAAAGAAATTGAAGGAGAAAAAAAATTATAATTAGTTGGCAACAAAACACACAGAGATTTGCATATATGAGGTTTTATATAATAAATACATTTATTTATTATTATTTAAATTTATTAAATATACCCATATTCTCATACACAAAAGTGTTTTTTTTTAAATCAGTTTCAAGGATAAAAAAAAATTAATTGACCGCAAATAACAAGATTTATTTAATTTTCCTGACTTCTTTTATAGGACATTTTTTAACAACTTTTTAAGGCCTTTTTTATTCTTTAAAATATTTTCGTTTTAAAATATTTTTTTTAAGGATCATCAACAAAGTTTGATTGTTTTAAATCTTTTTCCAAGGATGTTCTACAAACCAGGACTTTTTTAACGAGATTTATCAAAGTTTATCCAAAACGTGGGTTCAGTAAAATTACTTTCAAAGGCCTTCCAAAAACATGGGCTCAGCAAAAAAAAGTATTTTTCATAGGCCTTCCAAAAAAGTGGGCTCAGCAAAAAAAAAGTATTTTCTCAAGAGTTTTCCAAAAACTTGGACTGCGTTTTTTTTTCTAAAGAAAAGTTCAGACTTTTTTAAAAATTACAAACTGGACTTTTTTGGAGCCTTTACCCAGAGCCTTTACCTAGAAATTGGATATTTCAAACGATCTCTCAAAGCCCTGAAGAGTCTCTCAACGGTGGATTATTAAAGAATTTTAAAACATGTTCCTTAAAACTCCTAGAAATGAGATTTCTTCAAGAATTTTCGGAAGTCCTATTGAGGCTGTAAAGCGTGGATTTTTGAGGAAATTTTAGAAGCTGCTTAAATGGTTTTAAGGCCCCATTTTAGGTTTGGAGTGTGAATCTTAAACATATTCATGGATGTCCATGAGAAGTCTTGCAGCTTGGATTTTTTTATGGGATTTTTTGAAAAGTCCTTAAAGGCCCCAGATTTTTTGAATAATTTTTGGAAGCCTTTTGAAGGGTCTAGAAAGTTTTTTTTTCGGATGGATTTTTAAAATAAAATTTTAAAAATGTGTACAAATGTAAAAATGTGTTTGTTACAGGATTTTCGGAAGAAGGTGGAAATTTGAAGAATTCGATGAAGATTCTTAGATACCCTGAATCTTAAATCATTTAAAATAAGTTTTGAAACTTGGATTGTTAGAGGAATTTTTGGAAGATCACTAAAGGGTAACCCTTTTAAGACCTCAGGCTACTAAATTTATATTCATATAATTTTTAAAAGGTCCTTTGAGGTATAAGGTGAATAGTTTTTGGAAGCCCTTAAGGGCTCTTTATTGTGGATTTTAAAGCATTTTTTGAAAGAGGATTACAGGCAGTATATCGTGGTGATTTTAAATAAATTTTTGAATGTCCCTAAGAGGTCTTGGAACGTGGATTTTTTAAAGAATTTTTGAATGTCACTTAGAGGTCTTGGAACGTCAATTTTATAAAGAATTTTCGAAAATCCCTAGGATGTTATGGAACGTTAATTCTTTAAAGAATTTTTCAATGCCCCTAAGAGGTCATGGAACGTGGATTTTTTAAAGAATTTTTCAATCCCCCTTGGAAGTCATGGAACGTGGATTTTTTAAAGAATTTTTCAATGCCCCTTAGAGGTCATGGAACGTGGATTTTTTAAAGAATTTTTCAATGCCCCTTAGAGGTCATGGAACGTGGATTTTTTAAAGAATTTTTCAATGCCCCTTAGAGGTCTTGGAACGTGGATTTTTTTAAAGAATTTTTCAATGTCCCTAAGAGATTATGGAACGTGGATTTTTAAAAGAATTTTTCAATGCTCCTTCGAGGTCTTGGAACGTGGATTTTTTAAATAAATTTTTGAATGTCCCTTAGAGGTCTTGGAACGTGGATTTTTTAAAGAATTTTTCAATGTCCCTGAGAGGTCTTGGGACGTGGATTTTTAAAAGAATTTTTCAATGTCCCTAAGAGATTATGGAACGTGGATTTTTAAAAGAATTTATCAATGTCCCTGAGAGGTCTTGGAACGTGGATTTTTAAAAGAATTTTTCAATGTCCCTAAGAGGAACGTGGATTTTTAAAAGAATTTTTCAATGTCCCTGAGAGGTATTGGAACGTGGATTTTTAAAAGAATTTTTCAATGTCCCTGAGGGGTATTGGAACGTGGATTTTTAAAAGAATTTTTCAATGTCCCTGAGAGGTCTTGGAACGTGGATTTTTAAAAGAATTTTTCAATGTCCCTAAGAGGAACGTGGATTTTTAAAAGAATTTTTCAATGTCCCTGAGAGGTCTTGGAACGTGGATTTTATAAAGAATTTTCGAAAATCCCTAGGAAGTTATGGAATGTGGATTTTTAAAAGAATTTTCAATGTCCCTAAGAGGTCTTGGAACGTTGTTTTTTAAAGAATTTTTCAATTTTGGAAGTACTTTAGATCATTTTATTGAAGCTCTTTAATATTACCAGAATATTTACCAAGAACAAATTTGTTATCCATAATAAGCCTTGAAACTTTGATTGTAAAGAATTAGTTTGAAGAATCTGCAAAAATCTCAGCATTATTTAAAGAATTTTGAAAGCCTATTTAAGGCCCAGAATGATTTTTTTAAGGTTCGAAGATGGAGTAAAAAAAAAATTAAATAAATAAAAAAATCATTCGAACGAGTTATTTTACAAAATTTTTGGAGATCTTGAAGATGGATTTTTAGATTGGTAGATTTCTTAATGCCCGTAGACCCTGGATCATAATTTTTTTGAGAATTTTTGGAAGCGCCTTAGATAATTTTTGGAATCTCTATAATAGTCAGTCCAAGAATATATATATCATTAATAAATACGTGGTTGTCCATAAAGAATTTCGGAAGCTCTTTAAAGACCCAAAAATATACTTTTCGGAGACGAAGGACCTTTGGGCATCAAAATGTGTTTTTTATACAAAATTATTAGAAGACTCTTAGAGGGCCGTAAAGGTGCATTTTTAAAGATTTTTTTTGTAGACTTCTAAATGTCCTTAAACGGCTTTGGAATGTGGTGTTTAAGATTTTTTCGGAAGCCTCTTGGTAATTTTTTCAAGCTCTCTAAAAACTAGCCCAAGAATGTATGTCATTAATAATGAATTTCCATAAGGAGCCTGGAAATGTCAATTCCTTTAAAGAATTTTTGAGAGATCCTTAGAAGCTCAAAAAAAATAATACTTGAAGAATTTTGAAATACCCTAGAATGAATTTTCGGAGGTTTGTAGATGGAAATTTAAAGAACCTGTAAAAAAACTGAGAAAAGTATTACATGGCCTAGTTTTTAATTTTTTTTTTTTCAGAACTTTTGGAAGAGCCTTGGATTGGACATTTTTTAAAAGATTTTTTTAATATCCCTTAAACGCCTTGGAATGTGGATTTTTTAAATAATTGTTTTGAGTCCTTATAATAGATAGCCCAAGAATGTATATCGTTAATAATTGGCCTTATAAAAAGACTTAATTTTTTTAGCCTTAGAAAGAATTTTTCGGAGGTTCGGAGATAGATTTTTTAAGAATCTTTGATAGGTCTTTCGACGAACCAAAATGTGTTTTTACAGTATTTTTCGAAGATCCTTAAAGGCCAAGGATCGTAGATTTTTTTTTTTGTTGAATAATTTTCCAATGTCCCTTTCGACGAACCAAAATGTGTTTTTACAGTATTTTTCGAAGATCCTTAAAGGCCAAGGATCGTAGATTTTTTAAAATAATTTTCCAATGTCCCTATGAAACCTTGCATTCCGGATTTTTACAGAATTTTTAGGAATAATATAATAAATTCGTAGATGCCTATGAGAAGTCTTGAAACTCTATTTTTTTTTTTAATTTCTGGAAACCCTTCAAGGCTCTAGATCGAATTTTTCTGAAGTTTGTAGATGGAATTTTAAAGAATCTTTGTTTTTTTAACAGAAATTTGGGAACGCTATTAAAGGAACCTGAACTTGAAATGTTTAAGAATTTTTGGAAAAGTGCTTTAAAAGCCTAGATCTTGGATTTTTTTTTTTTAAATTTTTATGAATGTCGTTAAAAGCCTTGGAACGTAGTTTTTTTAGATTTTCTGGAAGTCTCTTTGAGACCTAAAGGGAGTCTACAAAAGTGGATACTTGTAGAATGTTTGAAAAATTCATAAATTCCCAAAAAAAGTGATTTTTTAGGGTTTTGCCTTGTTAAGGCGAAGATCATATGTTTTATGATTTATGTGTTTGTTTTTCTCTTTCGAGACGAACTTAATGATCTGAAATTTGCAGTGAAAAGGAAAGCCAGATAGACACTATCACACACTCACCACTATGCGACGCGTTTCGCAGTTGATTTTTTAATTTTTAAATTTTTTAAAACTTGTAGGAGCCCCAGAACGTAGATTTTTAATAAGTTCTTGGAAGGCCCTTACATGCTCAGAAAGAGCATTTTTTGAACGATTTTTGGTTTTATTTTGCCTTAGATGCCTCGAAACGACGACTTATTTTTACTAATTTTCGAAAGCCACTCATATTGTCATAGTTTTTTTTTTTTTTTTGGATTTGGCCTCTAAACCGTTGATTTTTTAAACAGTTTTTTGCGGCTCTTGGATTCTTATTAATTATTATAGAATATGATTTTTTAAGATTTATCGGAAGCCCTTTTTGGAAGTCCCTCAGATATCTGAAATATGGATTACTATTTTTTTTTTAAAAAAATAACATATTTTTGGACTTTCAAAGGCCCCAGGGTTCCTCAAAGTTCCCACGGCGTGAAATTTTCACAAAAAAAAAAAAAAAATGGAGGGAACCTAACTCCACCATAACGGAGATTTTTTTTCAATTTCCGAAGTCTTCTTCAAAATCTTTTTTAAGGAAGTTTTAAAGACAATTTGAAGACGAATAATGTGGATTTTTTAAAGAATTTCTAAAAATTACTTAAAGCCTTCATAAAACAATTATTTTTAATTTTTAGGAGACCTCCAGTTTCTTTTGAAATGTAGGCAATAAAAAACAATTTTGGAGGTGATTTTTTATTTTTAAGGAATTTAAAGGATATGCATC